CAATGGATCAAAGGAGCTTCTCACAATCTGCTTTAGAAACTGTGTCACCTCATTTCCTGGGTGAAAGTCATCCAGCATCATCTAGTCATTTCCTCCCCAACCTGACTGTCCTTGGCCCACCCTTTCATTCTTAGGATTTCAGTTCCTTCAATCACGGAGGCTCTTCATAACATGTGGGTGTTACCTAGGGTGGTCTACATGCAAATTTAGTCTGCCTAGCACTGTCCGCTCCTCCAAATTAACATCCACCCAGTGAATTTTCCTATTTGCATAACTCCTCCCAGGATCCATCCCACTGCTTGGGAGGGCTGAGGGTTCTTGAGAGGAGTACTGAGGCAGGATGTTGTGCAGGGGCGGACTGACAACTCATGGGGCCCCCGGGCAATAGGGAATCATGGGGCCCCTGTGTCCTCGCCCACACCCAAAAAAAACAATGAAAAAGCCAATAAAAGGTACCAGGGGTATCTTATGGGGCCCCCTACTGACCCCGGGACCTCGGGCAGTGCCCAAGTTTCCAAATGGTCAGTCCACCCCTGAGTGGACTAACCATTTGGAAACTCGGGCACTGGGGTCAGTAGGGGGGCCCATGAGATGCCCCTGGTACCCTTTTCATAGGCTTTTTTGAGTTTGGGCAAGGACACAGGGGCCCCATGATCCCCTATTGCCCGGGGGCCCCATGAGTTGTCAGTCCGCCCCTGATGTTGTGAAATTTTCAGGAAGTTATGTACGACCCCTCCTAGCAGCCATGATCTGCCTGCACTGCATAGAGAAGCGCAGAGACCCAGTGATGACATTAGACCTGAAAATGGAATGGTCTCATTTAAAAATTAAATTAGCATGTTGATGAGGGGGAGAAAGTATAAGCAGATCAACTCTGCAGATAAGAACAGGGGATGTTCAGACGATGACAAGTGAGCAGGGTGCATAAAAATCAATGATTTAAAAAAAAAAAAAAAAATCGGATTTTTTTTAAATTTAAATCGGAATTTTTTGATTTAAATCGGATTTTTTTAAATGAAATGCTTTTTGAGGAAAATATATTACCATCCAAAGGTTATTCCATCATGAAATAAAGATTCGTTTTTTAACCACTTGAGCTCCTGAGGATTTACCCCCCTTAATGACCACGCCTCTTTTTGCTGTTTGGCGCTGCACTAATTCAAATGATAATTGCGCGGTCATGCAATGCTGCACCCAAACGAAATTTACGTCCTTTTTTCACACAAATAGAGCTTTCTTTTGGTGGTATTTTATCACCTGTGCGCTTTTTATTTTTTGCGCTATAAACAAAAAAAACACAAATATTTTGAAAAAAAACGATATTTTCTATTTTCAGCTATAAAAAATATATCGTAAACTCAAAGTTAGTCATAAATTTAAGCCAAAATGTATTCTGCTCCATGTTTTTGGTAAAAAAAAATCCTGTGCATTAGCGGGCAAACTGGCGCTATATGGGAGGGGCGCTAACACTATCGGAAGTCGCCAGTGACACTAATACAGTGATCAGTAAAAATCTGTTCACTGATCAATGACACTGGTGACAGGGCAGTGAAGGGGTTAACTGGGGGGGGGGGGGGGGGCTGGGGGCGATCAAGGGGTTAAATGGGATTACTGGTGTACTGGCGGGCAAACTGGCGTTATCTGGGAGGGGCGCTAACACTATCGGAAGTCGCCAGCGACACTGATACAGTGATCAGTAAAAATCGGTTCACTGATCAGTGACACTGGTGATAGGGCAGTGAAGGGGTTAACTAGGGGGGGGGGGAGCGATCACGGGGTTAAACGTGATTACTGGTGTACTGGCGGGCAATCTGGCGCTATCTGGGAGGGGCGTTAACACTATTGGAAGTCGCCAGCGACACTGATACAGTGTTCAGTAAAAATCGGTTCACTGATCAGTGACACTGGTGACAGGGCAGTGAAGGGGTTAACTGGGGGGGGGGGGGCGATCAAGGGGTTAAATGGGATTACTGGTGTACTAGCGGGCAAACTGGCGCTATCTAGGAGGGGCGTTAACACTATTGGAAGTCGCCAGCGACACTGATCCAGTGTTCAGTAAAAATCGGTTCACTGATCAGTGACACTAGTGACAGGGCAGTGAAGGGGTTAACTAGGGGGGGGGAGCGATCACGGGGTTAAACGTGATTACTGGTGTACTGGCGGGCAATCTGGCGCTATCTGGGAGGGGCGTTAACACTACTGGAAGTCGCCAGCGACACTGATACAGTGTTCAGTAAAAATCGGTTCACTGATCAGTGACACTGGTGACAGGGCAGTGAAGGGGTTAACTGGGGGGGGGGGTGATCAAGGGGTTAAATGGGATTACTGGTGTACTAGCGGGCAAACTGGCGCTATCTAGGAGGGGCGCTAACACTATCGGAAGTCGCCAGCGACACTGATACAGTGATCAGTAAAAATCGATTCACTGATCAGTGACACTGGTGACAGGGCAGTGAAGGGGTTAACTGGGGGGGGGGGGGGGGGGGGGCGATCAAGGGGTTAGACGGGATTATTGGTGTACTGGCGGGCAATCTGGCACTATCTGGGAGGGGCGCTAAAACTATCGGAAGTCACCAGCGACACTGATACAGTGATCAGTAAAAATCGATTCACTGATCAGTGACACTGGTGACAGGGCAGTGAAGGGGTTAACTGGCGGGGGGGGGATCAGGGGGTTAAATGTGTCCTAGGTGTGTTCTAACTGTAAATGTGTGCTGTTTTACTCACTTTTACTGGGTCTTCTTCCCTCTCTGGAACGGAATGTGTCCAGGCAGAGAAGAATGACATCATATCCTGTCCTGTGTAAATGTCAACACAGGACAGGATAGGACAGGGACCGATCATCTGATTTCAGCCAGACATCACTGGCTGAAATCGAATGATTGATCCCTCCGGGATCGAATGGTGTCAATCGCGGGTCGGCGGGAGCGTGCGCGTGCGCCCCCTGCCGGCGAAAACGTCGGGAGCACGGAACCCGTTTTAAAACGTGGTTTTGCACCCCAGTGCCGCCCTGCACATGTATATATACAGTGGCAGGGCGGCAAGCGGTTAATTATGTAGAATAAGGCTGTATATGTTTAATTACTTTGGTAAATAAATTCCATGAATCCATTCACAATGTCACGCTCTCCAGAGGTTTCTGTAAGATGATTGGACAGTTTCTCTGCCTACAAGATATTATCATAGATGATTGGTTTACTTTTGCAGTTCTCAAAACTGAATGTGACTCAGCGGAGATCACATGTCTCTTCTTCACAGCAAAAATGTTATAACATGAACAGAGTTAAGAAAAAGACCTTCATCCTAACTTCTACAAACCTATGAATACAGAATCAACCCCTTCAGTGCCAAGGTGCAAGAAGTTCAGTGAATAGAATAGAAACAATATTTTTCTGATTGTTTGGAGTGGAATAGATCTGCACAAGAAGAAAGTGAAACTAAGTGTGAGGAGGAAGGGGCTGACAGTGTGAGGAGGGAGGGGCTGACAGTGTGAGGAGGGAGGGGCTGTGACAGTGTGAGGAGGGAGGGGCTGACAGTGTGAGGAGGGAGGGTCTGACAGTGTGAGGAGGGAGGGGCTGACAGTGTGAGGAGGGAGGGGCTGACAGTGTGAGGAGGGAGGGGCTGACAGTGTGAGGAGGGAGGGTCTGACAGTGTGAGGAGGGAGGGGCTGACAGTCTAAGTTTCTTAAAATATATATATTTTTGTTTAGCCAAATTAGTTAACCACTTGCCGCCCGCCTGCTGTTTATAAACAGCAGGGCGGTGGCACTCCAGGGGGCGGGTTGCCGTTCATAAACGGCACCTGCCTTTTCTAGCTGTGCGCGCTCCCTGGGAGCGCGCAGCACCGCGATCCGGTGCCTGCTGTGTCCTCCGGACACAGTGAAACACCGATCGTCGGACGGGACCTCTGTACGAGGTCCCGATCATGTGATCACTGATTGGCCAATCAGTGATTACATGCAAAGTAGTAAGCAAGATGTCACTTGTGACATCATTGCTTACTACGTGTGAAATCTGTGAATGATCACAGAGGTCACATGGTACAGGGCTATTCACAACAGCCTTGTACCATGTGACAAGCTGTGACCAATCACAGCTCACTCAGTACTTCTCAATGACTGCAGGAATGCAGACAGAGAGAAAGAGAAATGATTGCTTTTACATCCTATATGGGTGTAAAAGCAATCAGTGTAAAAAAAAAAAAAAAAATCTTCATCACCCCCCACAAGTAGTACAGTGTCACCATGGTGACACTGTACTGCTAGGGTGATAGTATGTAAAAAAAAATAAAAAATAATAATATAAAAAAAATAAAAATGTAAAAAAAAAATGTTTAAAAATTATAATTTATGGTTATAAACTAATTTGGATTTTTTTTTTACTAAAAAAATAACGGAATAAATTTTGGCCAAGATTTATGATGAAATATTATTTATTTACAAAATTTTATTAAAAAAACACTTTTTTTTCAAAATTTTTGGAATTTTTCCTTTACATAGTAAAAAAAAATAAAAAATCCCAGCTGTGAATAAATACCACCAAAATAAAGCTTTATCTTTCTCAAAAAAATGGTAAAAAATTCATATGGGTACAGTATTGCATGACCGCGCAATTGTCATTCAAAGTGTAATAGCGCTGAAAGCTGAAAATTGCCCTGGACAGGAAGTGGGTAAAAGTGTCCGGACTGGAAGGGGGTAAAAGTGTCCGGACTGGAAGGGGGTGAAAGTGTCTGGACTGGAAGGGGGTGAAAGTGTCCGGACTGGAAGGGGGGGAAAGTGTCCGGACTGGAAGGGGGGGAAAGTCTCCAGACTTGAAGGGGGGGAAAGTCTCCAGACTTGAAGGGGGGGAAAGTGTCGGGACTGGAAGGGGGGTGAAAGTGTCCGGACTGGAAGGGAGTGAAAGTGTCCGAACTGGAAGGGGGGGAAAGCGTCCGGACTGGAAGGGGGGGGGAAAGCGTCCGGACTGGAAGGGGGTGAAAGCGTCCGGACTGGAAGGGGGTGAAAGTGTCCGGACTGGAAGGGGGTGAAAGTGTCCGGACTGGAAGGGGGGGGGAAGTGTCCGGACTGGAAGGGGGGGAAAGTGTCCGGACTGGAAGGGGGGAAAGTGTCTGGACTGGAAGGGGGGGGAAAGTGTCCGGACTGGAAGGGGGGAAAGTGTCCGGACAGGAAGGGGGTGAAAGTGTCCGGACTGGAAGGGGGGGAAAGCGTACGGACTGGAAGGGGTGAAAGTGTCCGGACTGGAAGGGGTGAAAGTGTCCGGACTGGAAGGGGGTGAAAGTGTCCGGACTGGAAGGGGGGGGAAGTGTCTGGACTGGAAGGGGGTGAAAGTGTCCGGACAGGAAGGGGGTGAAAGTGTCCGGACTGGAAGGGGGTAAAAGTGTCCGGACTGGAAGGGGGGGAAAGCGTCCGGACTGGAAGGGGTGAAAGCGTCCGGACTGGAAGGGGGTGAAAGCGTCCGGACTGGAAGGGGTGAAAGTGTCCGGTCTGTAAGGGGGGGATGAAAGTGTCCGGACTGGAAGGGGGTGAAAGTGTCCGGACTGGAAGGGGGTGAAAGTGTCCGGACTGGAAGGGGGGAAGTGTCTGGACTGGAAGGGGGGGGAAAGTGTCCGGACTGGAAGGGGGGGAAAGTGTCCGGACTGGAAGGGGGTGAAAGTGTCTGGACTGGAAGGGGGGTGAAAGTGTCTGGACTGGAAGAAGGGGAAGTGTCTGGACTGGAAGGGGGGGAAAGTGTCCGGACTGGAAGGGGGGGAAAGTGTCGGGACTGGAAGGGGGGTGAAAGTGTCCGGACTGGAAGGGGGGATGAAAGTGTCTGGACTGGAAGGGGGGGAAAGTGTCCGGACTGGAAGGGGGGAAAGTGTCTGGACTGGAAGGGGGGGGAAAGCGTCCGGACTGGAAGGTAGTGAAAGTGTCCGAACTGGGAAGGGGGGGAAAGTGTCCGGACTGGAAGGGGGGGAAAGCGTCCGGACTGGAAGGGGCGGAAAGCGTCCGGACTGGAAGGGGGTGAAAGCGTCCGGACTGGAAGGGGGTGAAAGCGTCCGGACTGGAAAGGGGGACTGTGAAAGTGGCCGGACTGGAAGGGGGTGAAAGTGGCCGGACTGGAAGGGGGGGAAGTGTCCGGACTGGAAGGGGGGAAAGTGTCCGGACTGGAAGGGGGGAAAAGTGTCCGGACTGGAAGGGGGGGAAAGTGTCCGGACTGGAAGGGGGGGAAAGTGTCCGGACTGGAAGGGGGGAAAGTGTCCAGATTGGAAGGGGGGGAAAGTGTCCGGACTGGAAGGGGGTAAAAGTGTCCAGACTGGAAGGGGGTAAAAGTGTCCGGACTGGAAGGGGGTGAAAATGTCCGGACTGGAAGGGGGGGAAGTGTCCGGGAAGTGTGTCCGGGACTGGAAGGGGGGAAGTGTCCGGACTGGAAGGGGGGGAAAGTGTCCGGACTGGACTGGAAGGGGGGGGGAAAGTGTCCGGACCGGAAGCGGAAAGCGGGGGAAAGCGTCCGGACTGGAAGGGGGGAAAGCGTCCGGTCTGGAAGGGGGGGAAAGCGTCCGGACTGGAAGGGGGGGAAAGCGTCCGGACTGGAAGGGGGGGAAAGTGTCCGGACTGGAAGTGGTTAACAAACATGGATGTTTGTTTAATCGAATAATACATGCTGTAATGTTATTGTTTCAGTTGAATAAATCTATTTAAATTGTTATTATTAAGGTAATGATTATTTTTCTCCTTCCTAAGTACAACAGAAAAGTTGTCCAAATATGAATGATTAACCTATTAAACTGGGGATAAAAAAAAACTAATATGAAAAGTTGTTATTCTAAAAATCTTCATCTACTTACATATTAAAGTTATACCAGCAAGAATTAGTCTTTATGTAGAAAACTAGGATTTAGATCGAGCCTTACTGACTAGTGATTTAAATCAAATCCACCCTGCAAGTGAGTTGTTAATAATTTGTCATCCCCGTAAAAGGAACGCCGCGGTAAAAAAGGTATTACATACACTATATCTGCATTAACATAGAATGAAACTCACTTAACATTCTGTCAGAAGCGGGGGAATTATTAGTCACTTAATGTCCCCAATGTTGAGTTTCCTATTTGGACAGCTCAGGTGGTGCGCGGGCCATTATTGCTTTCATCGCGGTGAGGGAGGCTTCCTAATGAGACTGCGCGTTTAATCTCGTCCTTAAAACCAGCATGGCATGTCTTAAATTGATCCATTATTCTTTTGGACAGTTTATATCCATTTAATGAAAAATCATTTTCTGCTCTAAGGCAAACGTTTTTTTATTATTGAAGTGAAAATACAGCGAGGAGCACCGTAGGTGAGCGTCATTTTTATGATCACATCCCCCAAATGAAGCCATTGCTTTTATTTTAGACAAAGCCTATTGAGTCTAAAAGGATGTTTTATTACAGATGTCACATGGCTCTAGTTACTCGCTAAGCAGAAGCTGAACTGTGAGCAAACCGCTAAATAAACCTGCCGAAGGATTAGTGATTCTGTTCAGACATCTTGCTGTGGTCCTCAGACCTGAAATGTGTAGTTCCAGTGTTAACCAGCAGGTGGTTCTGCCAATAGATTAGTGATTTTGTTTGGCGAGCCTTTTGCTGGCACTGTGGTCTTAATACATGAAGGGTGTAGTTCAGTTGTCCACCAGCAGATGTCTCTGCTAAAGAATTAGGGATCCTGTTCAGCTAGATTGCCGGAGGTACTGTGGACCAGGGACGGACTGACAACTCATGGGGACCCCGGGCAATAGGGGATCATGGGGCCCCTGTGTCCTTGCCCAAATTTAAAAAAGCCTATGAAAAAGGTACCAGGGGCATGTCATGGGGCCCCCTACTGACCCCGGGCCCTCGGGCAGTGCCCAAGTTTCCAAATGGTCAGTCCGGCCCCTCAAACCTTGCAGGTGTAATTCCGTTGTCCACCAGCAGGTTTCTCTGGCAAAGGATTAGTGATTCTGTTCAGCCAGCCTGCTGGTGGCACTGTGATCCTCAAATGTGAAAGGTGTATTTCCGGTGTCAACCAGCAGGTGTCTCTGAAAAAGATTAGTGATGCTGTTGTCAGCCTGCTGGTGGCGCTATAGTCCTCTGACCTGAAAAGGTGTTTTTCTGGTGTCCACCAGCAGGTGTCTCTGCCAAAGGATTAGTGATTCTGTTCATCCAGCCTGCTGGGGCTCCTGTGGTCCTCTGACCTGAAAGGTGTAGTTTCTGGTATCCACCAGCAGGCATCTCTGCCAAAGGATTAGTGATTCTGTTCATCCAGCCTGCTGGTGCCGTTGTGGTCCTCCAACCTGAAAGGTGTAGTTCCACTGTTCACCAGCAGGTGTCTCTGCCAAAGGATTAGTGATTCTGTTCATCCAGCCTGCTGGTGCCACTGTGGTCCTCTGACCTGAAAGGTGTAGTTCTGGTATCCACCAGCAGGTATCTCTGCCAAAGGATTAGTGATTCTGTTCAGCGAGCCTGCTGGTGCCATTGTGGTCCTCCGACCTGAAAACTGTATTTCTGGTGTCCACCAGCAGGTGTCTCTGCCAAAGGATTAGCGATTCTGTTCAGCCAGCCTGCTGGTGGCACTTTGGTCCTCAGATCCGAAAGGTGTAGTTCTGGTATCCACCAGTAGGTGTCTCTTAGCAGCCACTAAGTCCCAGGATTTCTCAACTGGTGAGCCATGGCACCCTTTGGTGCTATTTGGATTCCCCCTGGGTGAAGCAAGCATGAGACCCAGTTTGCCCTGGATCAGTGATGTATGAGAGGAGTCTATGGTGATGGGGAGACTCTGTTGTGATGGTGGGGCCTTGTGATGTAATGGGGGCTCTAATGTATAGGGGGGACTCGTGATGGGGGCTTCTGACTCTGTGATGGGGGTCCCTGTGGTGATGAAGGCCTCTGATGTATAGGGGTGACTTTGATGTGATGGGGGAACTGACATGAGTGGGGGACTGTGACTTGAAGGGGGGACTTTGATGTGAAGAGCAAGCTCTGATGTGATGGGGGGGCTCTGATGTGAAGGGGGATCTCTGATGTGAAGAAGAAGCACTGATTTGAGGGGGGGACTTTGATGTAAAGGGGGGCTGACATGAAGAAGGGTCATCTGATGAGAAGGGGGGACTTTGAGGTGAAGAGGGAAATCTGGTGTGATGGGTGACCCCTGATGTGAAGGGGAGCTCTGATGTGATGGGAGGACCTCCGATGTGAAGAGGGGTCTTTTGATATGAAGGGGAACCTCTGATGTGAAGGGATCCTCTGATGTGAAGGTGGGACCTCTGATATAATGGTGGACCTCTGATGTGATGAGAAGACCTCTGATGTGAACTTGGGACCTCTGATGTGATGAAGGACCTTTGATGTGAAGGCAGGACCACTGATGTGATGGGAAGACCTCTGATGTGATGGGAGGACCTCTGATGTGAACTTGGGACCTCTGATGTGATGAAGGACCTTTGATGTGAAGGCAGGACCACTCATGTGATGGGAAGACCTCTGATGTGTGATGGGGGACCTCTGATGTGAAGAGATCCTCTGATGTGAAGGTGGGACCTCTGATATAATGGTGGACCTCTGATGTGATGAGAAGACCTCTGATGTGAACTTGGGACCTCTGATGTGATGAAGGACCTTTGATGTGAAGGCAGGACCACTGATGTGATGGGAAGACCTCTGATGTGATGGGGGACCTCTGATGTGAAGGGATCCTCTGATGTGAAGGTGGGACCTCTGATATAATGGTGGACCTCTGATGTGATGAGAAGACCTCTGATGTGAACTTGGGACCTCTGATGGGATGAAGGACCTTTGATGTGAAGGCAGGACCACTGATGTGATGGGAAGACCTCTGATGTGATGGGGACCTCTGATGTGAAGAGGGAACACTGATGTGATGGGGGACCTTTGATGTGAAGGTGGGAGCTCTGATGTGATGGGAGGACCTCTACTGTAATGGAGGACCTCTGATGTGAAGGCGGGACCTCTGATGTGATGGGGGGCTTCTGACTCCTTGATGGAGATTACTGCGGTGATGAGAGGCCTCTGATGTATAGGGTTGACTTCGATGTAATGGGGGGACTGACATGGGACTTTGATGTGAAGAGGACATTTTTTTGGGTGGACATACCCTTTGATTTATGTACATCGATGTAAAAAATAAATCTGCTCAGGAGAGAGAACGGGCTCCTTCGGCTCCTTCATTCCATTTGAATACGACAAACAAGATAATAAATTGCAATCTCTAATTTTAGACCGCGGTTGAATATTTAACAGAGACAACGATGTCACAATGTCGTCGCATTGACTAGAACGGATTATGACAGATCTCC